TTCCGTAATTGCGTTATAGAACGGACTTTATGCTAATCAACTGCCTATTTACGTGGCCCTTAGGTTTCTTTATAGACTGAAAGGTGGGGCAGTCTAGATAACGGGTCGGCAACCTGCGGTTCGCGAGCCGCATGCGGCTCTTTCGACGACCAAATGCGTCTCTCCAGCTCCATGCACAAACATTTATAATTATTTTTTCAAAACTTATTAAAATACTATAAAGAAAACCAACTTTAAACGGGATAAAAACACTCATCAGAGAACAGAGGGATTAGGTGAGGTAGAAAGTAGACGGACAGCTGACAGCCGCGTGGGCACCAGGCCCAGCCCCACAGCCTTGCTCTGACCAGCAAAGTGGCGACGGTTCCATTCTTACCAATGCCGAAAAGCCGACTTTTTCGAATATCGTCAGATTGGGAATGTTATTTTATACAGAATGCATTTCTCTATCTCTCAGTATGCATACATTTGATCTGAGTGACGTGGGTTTTTAGTTATTAGCTTCCTACGGTTGAGCTGAGTACTGGACAGTGGGGTACGAGTTTACCCTGGGCTTTGTGGGATGAAAGATAAACCCTGTGAGAACCAAAGGACAGAAGCGATCGATACAGTAATCAAACCGATACACAAGCCAGTTAGTCGGAGTTGGCCGTGCTGAGGGCTGCCTAGCTATGAGAGACACCTCCTAAGCTGGTGGTGTCGAAAAGAAAGAAAAGTAACAGTTATTTGCTTCTAAAGTGGATTGGGATCGGTCTATAATTATATTATTTAATTACTAATTGTATCATAGCAGATCTAGCTAAAATACTTTAATATGTCTTATACAAATTATTAGTATGTTTTTTTAAGTATAAATATTCTTTCATTTTTAAAGCTATTTATTTAAAATCAAAATTCAAATTTATAGGCTATATATCTAATCCTATTAAAATACTAAAATATTGATTTGAAAGTGTTAGTGGCTCTTTAAAAACTGGGAACTTTTGTAAATTGTAATTTTGGCTCTTCCGGCTCAAAAGTTTGTAGACCCCTGGTCTAGATATATGTTTTCCTAATTCCAAAGTGTCTTGTATGAACAAATAGCAACGAGTTGCATGTTTGTGTATCACTGACGGTGTGTTGGTTTTGTGTTTGTGTCTCAGTTGTGTTGTGTTGTAAATTAGTTTATATGCTGTTTCCCTGTCTTTGGTTGTAAAGGATCTTAAAGATTGATGTTTTCATAGTGACCTGAATCGAGGCCTATACTACCATTACTGTGAATATTTGGGTGGTAAATCTTTGTTGTAAATTTAATCTTTGGTGGTTTAGACTTTAGATGGATAATCTGTAGAAACATGAATGACCAAAGAAAAAAACACCACCTGCATATGACTATCCGGAGGTCCTTGAATAATTGCTTCCCACTGATATAAGTCATCTCCACAAACATGTTTATGTCAGTAGTATGATCTTTGAATAGGATTATATATATATATATATATATATATATATATATATATATATATATATATATATATATATATATATATTTATATATATATATATATTTATATATATATATATATTTATATATATATATATATATATAATATATATATATATATATATATATATATATATATATATATATATATATATATATATATATATATATATATATATATATATTAAAATAAATATCTTTAAATATATGAAATGATCTCATTTGTTTTTGTGTTGAAAGTGTCTACTATAAACATCAGAGTACTTGAATTTGTTTTGAATTGCTCAAATCTCTAGTGAACCCATCCCTCATTTTGTTTATAGTAATGCTGAAGTGATTCATGTTAATAGTAGCATTGGTTTCATTACAATATTTTTTTTCCAGATTTTTCGTAATTAAGTAATTTACCGCTCACCATGTCTTTATAAAAATAGTATTTGTTTTCAAAAAGAAACATTACTTGAAGCAAGGCAAAGGCTGGGTTTTCCTTTCCTGTCAGTTTTACATTTAGCTCGTCTATCTTCTTTATGATATCCACCACGAAGTTGAGTCTGTCATTTCAGAAAGGACAATTTAATAAGAAGTTTATTGAAATATTGAGAAATTAAATAGTGTAATAGAATATGTTTATTATTAAATCGTTCATTGCCGAGTGTTGCAGAACAATATTTGTATGAGTTTTAAAAATAAAATAAGATAATTATAAATAACGAGCCGGCCCGCGGCATAACATACGCCGCTATTTAGTTGTTGTTTTTTCTACTTTTCAGTAATTCAAAATTTGTGAATTCGACAGTACCAACGCTGACACTGAAAATATTTCTTTAAAACACTATAAGTAGCTCGTTAAGGACCATAACCGCCCCCCCCCCCCCCCAGCGTTTCAAATCTTTTCAAACTAAATTATCTTCCCCTAATAGCCGTCACTAAACCCGACTCCACGAAGGTAAACATAGTGTGAACCACATCTCACTTAGACCATGTAGGGGTGGGGATGGTAGGGAGCGCGTTTACAGCTTGTTTTCTAGCGTCTCCCAGAAGAGAATTATATATATAGATAGTGCATGGCGATGAAGAGCCGCAACTTGACATCAGGGGAGCCACATGCGGCTCGAGAGCCGCAGGTTGCCGACTCTGACCTACACCAGGGGTCGGCAACCTTTTGAGACAAAAGAGCCAAAAGTTTAAATTTACACAATTTCCCAGTTTTTAAAGAGCCACTAACATTATTTTTCCAATATTCTGGTATTTGATTAGAATTAAGTAAATAATTTTGTTTATTTGAAATAAATACAGTTAAATATGAACTAATATTGATTCATAGAAACACATGTTTCGCACAAAAAAGTGTTTTAGCTTGCTCTGCTATGATTAAGTTAGTTATCAAATAATATAACTATAGGACAATCCAAATACACTTTAGAAGCCAATAACTTTGTTTTTCTTTCTTTACGGACACCACTGGCTCAGGAGGTGTCTCCCATAGCCAAGCAGCCCTCAACTGACTAACTGGCTTAGATATAGGTTTGATAACTGAATCGGTCGCTTCTATCCTTCGGTTCTCACAGTGCTTATCTTCCACCCTACTTGTTCCCCACTGTCCAGTACCTGGCTCCACCGTAAGATACTAATAACTAAAATACTCCGGTAGAGGATGTATTCTGAATAAAATAACATTCCTCACTTAAAGATATTCGTAAAAGTCGGCAAGAATGGAATAGTCGACACGGGGCTGGCTACAGCACGGCTGTGGGTTTCAGAGGCGTAGCGACCCTTCCCGGCGCCCGGGGACAAACTTTCGAATTGCACCCTCCCCCTCTCAATCTTTCGATGTGCACCCAACCTCAAACTTTCGATTTGTTTTCCCAACCCCTTTTGGCGTCCCCTGAGGTTTGCGCCCGGGGACATATAGCCCCCACCACCCCCCCCCCCCTCGCTACGCCTCTGTGGGTCTAAGCGGCTCTCAGGTCTCCATTCACTTTCTACCATACCTATTCTCACTGTTCTCTAATGAGTTTTTTAACCCTATTTAAAATATATTTAAAATATATTTAAAATAAACATATTTAAAATATATTTAAAATATATTTAAAATATTTTTATGAGTTTTGAAAATGAAATAATACAATCATTAATCATTGTGCATGGAACTCGAGAGCCGCACCTTGACATCAAGAGAGCCGCATGCGGCTCGCGAGCCGCAGGTTGCCGACCCCTGACCTACACCAAATGACTAACACAATGTATGAAAAGATATTATTCTCAATATGGAAACATTAAATTAGTCACTGTACACAGTTAACTCCCATATAAAAGACAATGATAAAACAAAGGCCTGTAAGGGGAATTAATTTACGATAAAATTGTTTAATCAATAAAATGTGTAATCCTATATAAATAATACAATGTAAAACAATTTGAGTTAAAATGTTGTTTATTTAAGAAAAGTTCAAAACAGAAAATGGATATTTTTTTAAAATTTTACATAAATATCAATATTACATATGTAATATTTCTTTTTTAAATCACTTTTAGAAAATTTGAACAACCTTTTGATTACTCAAATACGGACTGTTAATTTATTTCTTTTTTGTCCTTAACATCTTTTTTTTTTATAATTCCCTTCAAAAAAAAAAAAAATTAAAAAAAAAAAAAAATAAAAAAAAAAAAAAATTATAATTCCCTTCACACAGTTTACTCCACTCGAGCAAGGAGCTCACTGTGCGGATAGGTCGCATTTTTATTACATGAAAATTACATGAAATAGCATACAATGTACAATCAATTTCACGTCTTTACTTTCTTGCCTTTAGACTTCAGTTTCCTTTCTTCAATCTGCTTTTCCGTCTTGATTCTTGTTACTTCCTGTTTCAAAATGTCTTTACTTTCCTTCATTTTGTCTTTTCTTGCCTTTCAGTATCTTCAATGATTTTGCTTATTTATTTTCTCCTTTTATTTTGCTTCTTTATTTTCTCTTTAACATTTCTTTTATTGATTCCTATAGAGCTTTGAGTATAGGTTCAATGGTGTCGGGACGGAACATCCTACCTAAGATTGCTCCTAGGTAGGCGTCGTCTAGCTGAAAAGAATTGATTATTAGCCACTCGTACATTGAAGCCACCTTAGTACAAGTACTAGGTGACTCTTCTCGAGAGCTATGTGCAATCGAGGGATGTGTGGGCGCAACACCACACGATCTTTTGCATTCGATGCCTCGATGACCAGCTTCTCAACCCGGCAGCCGGCCCTAAGCAGGGCTAGCCGACCAAATAAACCGATCAAAATTTATTTTTTTTTTTTTTTTTTTTTCAGTATGTTTCAAAAATTTATTTTGATCAGGCAAATCTTTCTTTTTAAAAACAAATGTTTGTTGGAGGTAGTGGTCATTTTGATGAGGACACTGGTTGTAGCTTAAAAACATCAGTACAATCCACATTTGGTGATTATGAGGCCCTGCATTTTTCAATTCAGACGACATTTTCACAAATTCGCTGCAGAGCATTAATTCACAGTTCATTTAAGTTCTTGATTGTATAGAAACTTGTTTTCCATCTTTCTGTGTTTGTGTTTTCTCTGCTTGTTCCTGGATCAAAGCATTCCGTTTTCTTTGGTAGTGCTGCCAGTGTAAGAGCTGTTGATCATCAATGAATTTGGCACATTGAGAATTGACAAGCTCCTTACGAAAATGTTCATACTGTAGAAGTTCTATCATGTGTAAACATTGGGGTATTTGAGAAATTTGGCATATCTTTGTTCTTTCCAGTACTGAAGGTACTTGAGATAGTTAATAAAATTCGGGTCTTTGAAGATGTTACGTTGGGCTAAAAAATTTAAATAATTGGGTTTTGCTAGACACTGGACAAACTCAAGCTCAATTTGAAAACGGGTTCTCTGTTGTTCCTCAGTTTCACCAAAACGCTTCTCTTTTCTATCCATTTATACTTTCTCGTATATAGGCCTACGTAGTATAGAGAAAGTATTGTAATCGTGCAAAAAAAAAATCGAGATTTTTACAAATCTCGACGTTTTACACCTCACTGATACGGAAAAACATAATTTTGCAATCTTGTCCGTATGTCTGTGTGTGTGTGTGTGTGTCTGTGTGTCTGTGTGTCTGTGTGTAAACACGATAACTTGAGTACCGTTACAGCTAGGTTGGTGAAATTTCATATATAAGTATTATATCAAAATCGTAGATCCGTATCAACTTTTGAGCGATTTCCGACAACCGGAAGTGGTACTTTTTCTACTTTGAATTTTTCAAAAGCCTATAACTTGAGTACTATTTCAGATAGATACATGAAATTTCACATGTAAGTAAAAGATCTAATTCTCTACCTTCTGTTAAATTTTGAGTAATTTCCGTTGACCGGAAGTAGTAATTTACGCTACTTCCGATTTCTCAAAAAACTAATGTAAATTTTTAAAGTACTAATAATATTGCGCACTATTACGCACATTTCGGTGCTCGCTTGGTGCGTAATTTTTTTTTCTACTAGATTTTATTCTATTTTTAAAAGTTTAAGTAAACAAAAATCATGTCTATATTCCGAGTTGACATCCCACGTAGTGTTTTATTATAATATTCGAGAAAGTTTAGGGAGATCACTCCCGGTTTATTTTCTACAATGTTTACTTCATTGTTTATACGACAAAATAACAAATGTTTCACCAGCAATTGTCACAGCCCATTGCATAAACAACGTCACAGTTTTAATTATAGGAAAATAATTTTTTTTTTTTTTTAAAGTGCCTTAAAATACACTGCCTCAGAATGTAAATAGTATTTTTATATTTCATGTACTTATTTAATTATTTTTTGTACAAACTTGAATTGCTTACACGTTATTTATGCATTTCTTAATATTTTATTTGACAGTGAATGTTTTGAGTTTCTGTTTGTTATAAAATGATGTTCTTTTAGTTAACTCCCTTGAGTATAATTTTTGTTGTTGTAACATAAACATGGGATTTAATAAAGTGTAATATAAGTTTGGTAATTTATAAACGGCAATACACGGCAATTTTCATACTACATGTTCAATACACTTAACCCATATTCTGCTAGCGTCCCACTTATGGGACGCTTGCAAAAAAAATTGCTAAAATTTATTAAAAACTAGTTAAAACACAAATTATGTTTCATTGTATTTAAAAATAGCTAGACTATTGAATTTGTGTGTGTTTTGTGAAAAAAATTAATTTAGAAAAATGTTATAGTGCCGGATTTGCAGGACTTGTCAAAATGGCGGAAAAAAGAAAACATGCGCACAGGAAAATGCATATCTTCTAAAATATTAACATTTTAAGCGCAAAATACATTTGAAACTTGTAGCAGTACCATATTTCTATCTGATAAAAATTTAAGAATAACAATTTTTTTTTACTACTTGGTTATATCAAGTGTACAACAAGCGTCCCATAAGTGGGACGCTAGCAACGAATGGCCCCATGTAGATTGTTACACAAACGTCACATTTATTGGACACTAGCGAGAAACACAGATGAAAATGTTTATGTTAAATGGTTATTTATGGTGAAACAATTGTTGACTTTGTTAACTGCTGACTTTGGGGTGTTAAGTAGTATTTATAGATATTTAACTATGACCTTGACCTATATTTATGCAGATTGTTACACAAATGTCACATTTATTGGACACTAGCGAGAAACACAGATGCAAATATTCATGTTAAATGGTTATTTATGGTGAAACAATTGTTGACTTTGTTAACTGTTGACTTTGGGGTGTTAAGTAGTATTTATAGATATTTAATTATGACCTTGAGCTATATTTTCTTATATATTATTGTATTAAAAAATTGCAAATATTGAAAAACTTACATTTTATTTTTAAGTTTTCAGAATTACACTTATTGAAGTATTTAATACCATTGAATACAAACTAATTTAGTATTGCTGTACATTTACTAGCGCTTGATATTAAAATTATAACAAAACAGAATAATAACAATGGCCACGATTTAGGTGAAATGATTAAGTCATGGGGGTTGGTTAACTCTCTTCATATAAGAGAGCTTAAGCTACATATAGCAGAAATGTGAATTAGCTGTATACAGTTGTCATGCCCCAATAATATTTCCCTCCAAAGGTTCCCGATACCAGTTTTACTTTGTTAACTTTTTAAGGAGATTCCTGGTGTTAGATTGGGAGCTGTTCGCATAGTGAGGTGCATACATGGATGAGAGCCATGAACACTCAATACAATGCCCCAGAGACGGATCTGTGCCCTAGAAATAAGATGTCTCATGAAGTGGCGTAGCTAGGATTTTTGGGCCCCTATGCAAAAAGTGTTAGTGGGCCCCTCAGAGGCGTAGCGACCCTTCACGGCGACCGGGGACAAACTTTCGATTTGCACCCCCCCCCTCAGACTTTCGATTTGCATCCCCCCCTTAGACTTTCGATTTGCACACCCCCACCCCTCAGACTTCCTAATGTACGCCTGTGAGGGGGGGGGGGGAATAGCAAGGGTAACAAAAGAGAAGATGGCTGGATGACATCTGGGACGACCGGATCATCTTTTGCAAATTCACTGAGGGCAGAGTTTCTTTCAGGCATCATTTCGGAGGATGGGGGGGGGGGCTCTGCCCCCAGAACAAAATGGAATTTATATACAAAACATACTTTTACCAATGTCCACCCTTCCCCTGAAATTTAAGTCCCCACCCTTGAAAATATCAAGTACTCCCCCCAAACAATCAATTATTTATATTTAATTATATTACAGTTTCGATGAATAATAACAATATTTGTGATCAAATGTGTATAATTAGATGTACTAGTCACAGCTTTACTTATTTCCAAGTGTTGTTCACTTTGATGGATGCTAGATTGAAAGAAAACTAGACTTTTGAACATAATTTCTCCATTTTAGACCATGGTATGGCTAACCCAATTGATCATTATCAGTATTATTTGCTGTCCTAAACAATGTACTCATTGGTCTAACAATACAAAATCAGTATACAGCTTAATTTTCGCGTAATTAGCCATATTTCGTAATAAATGATTTTATTTTTCAATAAATGTACATGGGGCCGTTCGTTGCTAGCGTCCCATTTATGGGACGTTTTTTTAAAAATCGATATTTAAAAAAGTATTGATTTTAAAAAAAAATCCATAGTCATTCCTTCATTCAGTGCCCAAAAGCTAAACCATATCAAAAAATTATAAAAATTTGACACCTTGGGATAATATGGGTTAATAAATCAGGCCTAGTGGTGTACTACACTGACTCTAGAACCCCTAAAACTATTTTAAAACTCTAGAAAACACATTTAAATTATTTTTAAGGGGCCTATAAAGCTACTTGAATAATAAACAATAAAATGATAAAACAATGTTTGTTTACTAATGTAAGACTAGTACTAGTAATCATATGTACACGAGTACACATTTTCATTAAAACAATAACTATATCACATGACGACTTTTTAGGACCTTCCGTTAATTATAGTACGCGCTGTGAAATAGTGTGTTGTATTTAATTAAAAAGATAACTTAACATGTTTAAAAAAAAACTTTCTGCATAACCATACGATAATTAAATATCATTAATTGCATTCAAATTAAAAACGTAGAACGTGTTTCTGTCACGAAAGTATAACAACCTGAATTTGACCTAGCTAATGACTTACACTTAAACAAGAAATATAACATGTACATGAAACAGATTTAACCAGATTTAACCAGATTTAATCATGAAACTACAGCTACATATTCCCGTCTCGCTATTGGATGTTTTTTGAATGGTCAGTGAATGTGTACCCTATTAATGTTCGAACTGTAAAAGTTTGAATGTAACACAAACTAATGTCACATATAATCTAACTACACCTGTTATAGAATGTCACGCTATCCAAACTATGTGCAGGACTGTTTATGAATACATTTATTTTAAACCGAATATTATTTGTTCATTTATTAATTTTGTAAATAAAGTTACTTCAATTATTTTTGCATATCTGTTGTAATGAATCTGCCAAAATCATGCCATTCTTAAGAGAAAGCAAACATAATTTTACCATACAGGAAAGTGATCTAGATAAATGTTACAAATTAACAAAAATAACTACCACCTCTCCTATACCCATATATTAGTCGAATTGGAGTTCCCTCACGCCGTCTCACTGACCCACGGCTACCCCTTATGTGCTGTATATTTTAACTTAAATATTATTAACACAATGTTGGAACTGCAAATAATAAGTTATATTAAAATATTCAACAAAATTCGTTCACACACCAACGTAAAGTATAATCCAATGAGCAATTCAACAATCCCGCTGCTGTCAGTAAATTAGCAAACTGTTATGGCGAAACATAAGGATGTACGTATGTACGATAATTGAATCAATGAATCACATCGATTATGTAATTAAATTGGCGATGTATTAAATATTCATAAATGGTCAAATTTCGACTGCACACAGTTAACTCCCATATATATATATCAATGTAAAAACAATAGCGAGTAAGGGGAAATAATTTAAGATTAAATTGTCGAATCAATAAAATGTGTAAGCCTATATGAAAATAACAATGTAAAACAATTTAAGTTGATTTGTTGTTTACGTAATAAAAGTTTTAAAAATATATATTTTTCTATGTACTTTTACTCAAATATAAATATTACATTTGAAATATTGTTATTTTTTTAAACACTTTTAGAAAATTTGAACATCCTTTTGATAAGTCTAATACCGACCCAATTTCGATGATTTTAAAGAAGTTATTCCAGTTACCGAATTTTGTCTGTTCAGTACACAACTGAAGTAATACTGTAAACTAAAATAAGAGTGTGAAAGGGCCTGCATTTAATTAACTACAAGTGTTATTATTATTGTACTTGTATACTGCTCTTCTCATGCAGTTTTCCTTTCTTTTAAATCTGTCTTTAATGAATTGAAACTCAT